AAACACGAAAAATTGGGCTAAAACTGGTTCTTTTTAATGTTGCTTATATGATTTTTAGTATAGCATAAAATTTATGATTAGTTATTTTAGAGCTTGCAATTGTCAAATGATTGATTACTTTAGAACTTGTAATTGTCAAATAGCTGACTTTGGAGAGGTCATATTTACGTAATAAGTGTCTGTCAGTGTTGAAAATTCGGCACAAATATGCTGTGCAAAAAATTTTTTATATGTAAATGCTATTCTATTTTTTGTGCAAATTGCACAACCCATTGTTAATTTTGTGCAAATAACAATACATGCATAGCGAATTTTCAACACTGGCTAAATTTCGTAATAAGTGTCAATTCTCTTGTAAAAAAAGAATGGAGATTGCACAGCCCATTGTTAATTTTAAGTAAATAACAATACATGCACAGCGAATTTTCAACACTGGTTATATTTACATAATTCTCTTGTAAAAAGAATGGATATCGATATTGACCAGTGTTGTACATGTATTGTTATTTGCACAAATTAACCATGGGCTGTGCAATTTGCACAAAAAATACTGTAGAATAGCATTTAAATATAAAAAAAAAAAATTTGCACAGCATATTTGTGCCAAATTTTCAACACTGATATTTACACATAGTATTGATATAATGCACTTATATACACGACCATATTTTATAATATCAGCTTAGGGAGCTGACACTTATTACGGAAATCTAACCCCTCAGAGTCAGTCATTTGACACAATTACAAGTTCTAAAATAATCAATCTTTTGACAATTGCAAGCTTAAAATAACCAATCATATAAAGTTTACACTATGATTACTTTAGAACTTGTAATTGTCAAATGGCTGACTCTGGAGGGGGATTATATTTATGTATTAAGTGTACTTTCTATGCACGAAAAATTTTATTCAGAGTCCTATTAATATTTACTCAATAATCCTCTTTTTAATGTTAATAACATTTAGTTCTTTCCATATCTTTTTTGTTTTATTCAAAGACCATTATTAAAATGACTTACAACAGAATTCTATACGCAAAAAAAAATTCAAAATCAATTGTATAGGTTCCATTTCTTGTTCAATATCTTTATGAATAATAACGCATAAAAATGTCATTCATTGTTATTATATGTAATAATGGCCTTTGTAAGTTGAGCACAATGATAAAAATAGTATTTAAAAGCTGGGCAAGTTTAGTAAATAAAATTTTCAAGATTATGTTTCTTTAATATGGAAGGAACTCATTTATCTTTAAGTTCTGATGATACTTACGATGCTGACATGATTGATAGGAGAACATTTGTTGGTGAATCTTATGATAATGATATTTTTAATCGATATTTTAGAAAAAAAGATCTCAAAAAATTATATAAGCTTTTTTTGAAGCAAGTTATACCCTTCACTAAGAAAATTATGGACACCGCTCATCATCCAGATGACGAAAGATTATACAATGAACTAAATGGTCACTTTTTTGTCATCATTGATCCATTTATTCAAGACATAATTGATGGCGATTGCAAGTTTTTTGTTGGCAGTAACGATAATATTCCTGAAAGATATTGTATTCGTGGACGCATTCGGCAAACACTTTCATGGTATTTGACCTGGTCTAGAGAAAATAATGATAATTGGAGTATTGATAGGAGTAATATGGTTAGACATATTAGATATTTTTTAGTGCATCGCTGTATGAATAATATTTTGGAAAAGGCTTATGACATGTATGTTAGAATTTTTAACATAAAAATGTATCTTTCTTTTTTTCTTGATTATTTGGTGAATATGGCAGATCTTAGATTCGAAGACATTAATCAAGAATATTATAATTATATAAATTCTATTTATTGATGACGTGTTTACTTGATATCTTTATCTTAATAAATTCAGACTTTTGATAATATATGATCAAATCAAAGCATTTGATATCGATATTGTTCAATTCAAAAGAAATAATCTTGTAGTCAATTATAATGACGCAATTATAATGACAAGTAAACAAAATAAAAATTTACGTGATTTTCTATACTAGAAAAGAGATCCATATCAGACATATGCGGGTATTATGATGCGAGATATTGTGATGCACTTACGCTTACGCTTGATATCTTGCAATATACTGATCAAAATCGAACAATTTTAGTATTTTATATTTTTCCAATCTGAGCAAGTTTTGGAAAAATGATCAGCAAAGAGCAATAAAAAAGGGGTGCGTTAGGGTGTGTAATGGCCTATTAAAATCAAACATAGGCAGGGTCACTAATGATTATCACTAATTGCAGATTTTCTAATGGAATTTTGGGTTTACTTAAAATCCCGATCTCAAAACAAATCCCGATAGAATCAAAAATTGCTTTCGGGATTTTGGTATCAGAATTCTGAGATGAACTAGTAATTATAAATTTATTATCTAATATCTAAGTATTTATTATCTAATAATTATGTATTTAATCGTTATTTAAATCAATAAAATTTATTATTTTAATCGTTACTTAAATCAATAAAATTTATTATGTATTTTAATTGTTATTTAAATCAATAAAATTTTAATATTAACTAAAAAATTTGCGATTTTTATTTTTATACTTCTTAAAGAAAACATGCCAAAACGAACTAGACACTATAGTCAGCGAAACCATTTAAAAAAAGCCCGTAAAAAAATTAATAATAAAGATTTAATTGAATCTAATACTACAGATTCTGCAACTATTAATGATACAAATAATATATTATTTTCATCAATTGCTATACAAACTGAATCTATTGTTAATACAGTTGCTACACAAACTGAATCTATTGTTAATACAGTTGCTACACAAACTGAATTTATTGTTAATACAGTTGCTACTCAAACTGAAGTTATTATCTTACAATCTGATGAAATTCAAGTAAATCAAACAAATAAAACAAATTCAAAAGTTCAGTTACTTAATTTATTTAATCAAATTACTCAAATACTTACTTATAACCAAAAGTACAATTCAAAGTTATTAGAAATACAGCAAACATTTTTAAATTATATTATACAAACAGATTATAATGAATTGTTATTAGCTTTTTCTTTAATACAGACTATGCGATATAAAAAAGATCAAAATATTGGTAAAATTTTTTCAAAATATTTACAACAAAAAGCAGTAGATTATATAGAAAATTCTTTTTATCAAACAGAACATGATGTTAATAAATGTAGTACTACAATAAAATCTTTAGAAAATCAAATAAATAATTTAACAAATCAATTAAATAAAATTAAAAGTGAAAATAAATCATTAAATGGTAAAATTAGTAAGTTTAAACAAATTCGCAAACAGCAAATATCTAAATTACATTCTAATGCTTCTAAAATTAAGAATTGTATGAAAGAAGAATTAAAAACTGCAATTAAACAAAAATTAATGGAAAACAAATCTCAATATACAGCAAAAACAGTACAAATGGCAACAAAAATTTGTCAAATTGGTAAAATGTCATATAGATCTGCTGTAGAATGTTCTAAAGCAGTAGTTGAATGGCTTATAGATAAGGAACCTGATAAATGGTTTTCAGTAAAAACTCTTACTGGATAGCATAAAGATGTTGCAACAATTTATTCTAATCAACAAATAAATATAATTGACAATTCTAAATTTTCAACTTATGGTATAATGGCTGATGAATCTAAACGAGGTGATAGATATGGAATCGGAACTTAAAAAATAAACAAGAGGCATTCAGTTACTATCGTAAATCCGCAAGGAATCGGAGTAGAAGAAGATGATAATAAAGCCTTTAGTTATTATCTAAAGTCTGCAGAAATTGGATTCCCTTATGGAATAAATCAAGTCAGTTTCTTTTATCTTAATGGACACAAAAATATAGTTGAAAAAGACGAACATAAAGCGTATATATATCATAAACAATTATCGTCAACTTCTGATGATTATCATAATGTTACGTTAACGATTTAAATATCATTCATAAATTCTCATATAATGTAATCAATTTAAAAATCAAATAAAAAGCTCACTTCCAAGAAATTTCGCCCTCATGTGATCAGATTTCATCAAAACAATAAAGCGCAAGATTTAAAGTATTAAAACCTCATTGTTAGGGGCAGATAAAGTTTAATACTCAAATCAGAATTTCTTCTAATTTATGTTATGCTACTGGGTTGGCGAGAAAGACAACTCAAAAAAAATATTAAAGTAAAATTTTAACAAAATTACGATCTGAACCCGAATCCATTATATTATTATAGAATATTATTTGATGCATGTTAAATAAAAAGAACGTGAAAAAAATGGTCCAAGACATAGTATATTTTGTCTTCTAAGTAAAGTTTGCTTTATGGTTATTCGCTAAAATTCACACACTAACGATTGATATCCACATTCGGTGTTACATTTAAATATAGTTTAAATACAGTGATTTGATAGCGATAGTTGATCACTCTTTTACATATTCTTTTTTTCCTTTTCGTGCATAAATGAACCATCTTTACAATGATGCACGGTTCTTTTCAAGGAATCGATATAGGTGAGTATGGGATGGTTTGCGAATTCTAACTATTGTTGTTTTCTTTAAAAAAAAAAATGCAAAAAGTTTTCGAAAAAAAGAACGGAGAGAATAATAAAGATTTGGGGACGAGATTTGAAAAGTTTTGTAAGAAATAGCTAAGAAGAGAGTTTGCGGATTGGGGTGCTACAATTATTCGGATGGGGTGAGTATTTCTCACAAGTTTTGTGGAGTCATCATGTATTCGAAGATACGCTGCCAGATTAACGTAAAATATCCAAGAATTGAAAGCTCATCGTGGTGGGTTGTTTTGGCAATCTAACGTTCTTCTTGGTTGTTTGATTTCCGCTGATGCATACACGGGGATTAATCTGGTGAATAGAATCGTGAATATGGCTATGAAATAATACTTATCTATTAATCAATTTAGTGGTTCTGGGGATGGCGGAAAAGATATCGTAATGGAAGTATGGGGGTATACATTGGTTATCCAATGTAAAGCATACTTTAGTAGTTTTATAGGTATGTATTTTTTATTTTATTATTTATTTATTATAGTTTTTTGGTAAATAGGTAAATTAATTAGATAGAATAAAGGTAAACGAAGTTGAGGCGGCTGTTAGAGTAGGGAATAAGGAATTGAGAGCATTAAGAAAGGGAAATTTGCTGTGGGTGTTTTAGTTGGGATAACAAAATATAGAATCCAACCTTCAGCATATAAAGCGGCCAATTTGTCAGAGGAAAAAATTATTGTTACAACTTATGTTAAAATGTGTAAAGAAATCCGAAAAATAATTACTATGTTTTTAAGAGAAAAAATAAATAGACTAGAGGAAGATAAATTTAACTTAAATTACTATTTAATATTTGGCATTTATTTCTTTATAACTTATGTATTTTTATTTTTATATTTTGTATATCATAGATAGATTTTTTAGTTTAGGAAGTAGTTCGCAGTTAAAGGGTATAATTATACTAAGTATCATAGTCGGAACTTATTATAATTTTTTTTATAGTAGTGGAATGCCAATAAAACGTATTTTTTTTTACTAAATAAACATCTTTTGAATCTTTAATTTGAATTGTTCTATAATACTATGTCTGATGAAAGTTTTGTTATATCAACCCTAAATATTAAATGCTTTTATTTGTTATTCGTTTATTGTGCTACTGGGTTGATGAGAATACAACTCAAAAAAAAAATAAAATAAAATATTAATTCTATGGTTCCTTCATAAATTCATGTTTCACTTAACCTAAAAATTAGGGTTTACGATCTATTAAAAAGTTAGCACCGTAAACTCAGTTCGTTCTCTGACTGCATCTTGATGCTGTCGAAGAATGAAATTAGTTCAAAATTATAGAATATTATTTGACGTGCCTTTCTTGTGCTAAGATAAGAGTTATTAATTACAGCACATTTCAAATATGACTTAAAGCGCCAAATTAGCTTACCATAGTGTTTATATTTTTTTAAGCCAAGATATCTTCAAGATAACCATTCAGAAAAGACCAATATAATTAAAACACATATAAGAATTATGAATTTAATAACTTGGCCTACATTAAGTTTAATATAAGCTTAATGTAGGCCAAAATATTAGACTACACCCTGGACGTTATTTTGAGATGATACATAGTGATGGATCAGTTCATCCTGGTTGGTCCCATCCCTGTAATAAAATGCAGAAGATAGTGAAAAATTAGTAATATTTAATACTGTAGCGATTTATGTGATTTAAGTTATTTATAAACATCCTAAAGTTATTTTATTATGCGACGCTGAAAATTGAATCGTAATTTAAATACTGTTAAATAGTAGATAAATAAAAGGGTTGATTCATGCAAACACTTAAAAATTGTTTTCATGGTTCCTTCATAAATTCATTGTTCACTTAAGAATTAGGGTTCGTTTTGACCCAAATCCGTTATGAGCAAATATTACAATTCAATAAAAAGTTAGCATATCTTTAACTCATTTCATTCTCCAACGGCATCTTGGTGCAGTAGGAGAATAAAATGTGTTCGAAAATTATAGCATGCGTGCTAAAATAAGAGTTATTAATCAGCATCAAATTAGCTTACTATACGTAGTGTTTAAGATGACCATTCAGATTAAACACATATGATAGATATAGGTAGGGAAATTACCATAACTTTAAGAAAGTTACGAAAATCGAATTTCATGTAATTTTAATCAATGAATAATGCTGGCCAAAACTTTTATAGAGCTGTCATATAATGGTGATAAGTAAATATATAGGAAAGGTAGTTCTCTATAACTTATTGATATTTACAGCGTTTGAGTTGATTATATTATAAAGATTATTATTTTGCACATACGAAGTTCAAATACGTACTTAGATTAAATATTCTTTATAATTATATGCTAAATGCTAATAAAATAAATAAACATTTATAAACTCAAAATTTTCCTACTCGAGGAACAAGAAAATCTGGACAATTTATTTTTCTAATCCACAAAAGAAATAATAAATTTGTTTATTTGATCAAATTTATTAATAATAATATAAT